AAAACATCTCATATTCTGTTACTTCACACCCAGAATCCCTGTGTTTATCTCATCTACCAATATAGCATAGAGCTTGGAGACACTGTGTTCTCAAAATCACTCAGTTTATGATTTTATTCACCAAAGGTTTTTAACTTTTAATTCCATTTCTCATGAAGTATTTGAAGATTCCTAGAATTGATGAATGTCTACCATGCATGAGACAACAATATGAAATCTGGGGACATAGTGATAGATGGAAATAGTTTCCGACAGGGGCTTTTTAAATAAATGGTTCCAAATTTAGATCTAAATGACACACATTTACGGTTCATGGAAAGTCAGAGGAAAAGAATGCTTTGGATAAGTTGTAATACAAAGTGCTTTTACAAAAGATCTGTCCATGGAGTATTTAGAAATAGAAAAAAAAAATAATAAGGCCATGGGGTGGCATTACCTTACATTATAAAGTATTCAAAGGCCTTGTCTTTTAATTAGCGGAAGGCCATAATATTATTTAAATTTCTTGCTGTTTGGAGAAGGAAATTTCATGGAACAAGTTAGATACCATCTCCAGATGCCAAGCCTTAGAATTCTTCCTTATATTTCTAATGTATCGTGAATGTCATGCAAATAAAAGGGCATTAAAATAAGTCAGTACAACAGAATTATAAATATTTAGCCAATATATTAAAGTATAAATACCATCTTAAAGTTTTTGAAAAACATAGCAGCAACAAAGCCTTAAAATTAAATATTTTAGATTTTTACTTAAAAAATTATATATTCAAGTTTCTATCCTAATATTTGCTATTAATTTTAGAGACCTGCTAACTGTTGGTTATTATGAATACAATAAATGTTTTATGACATAGGGTCCAGTGTTGTGGTTCAGCGAATTAAGCTGCCACAAGACATTGGCATCCTATATTGAAGTGCCTACCTGAGAACCTATTACCCCACTTCTGATCCTGTTTCCTGCTGATGAACCTGGGAAGGCAGAGGAAGATGGTCCAAGCAGTTAAGCCCCTGCCACCTATATGGAGACCAGGATAGAGTTCCTGGCTCCTGCCTTTGGCCTGGCCCCTGTGGGGAGCAACCCGGACTAGACTAAGTTACTGGAATTAAGACTTATTCTATGCATCTGCTCTCCCACAATATGGCGCTGGGAGAGAAGAAAACAGCTTCTACGCAGCTGCCTCTTGCCAACTTGAGTGATGACCTCCAGGAGCTGATCCTGCTCCTGATTGGAGGAGAGCAGCGTACTCGGCGTGTGGGCAGCCGAGTTGGGATTGGCGGAGGAGGACTATAAAGGAGGAGAGAGACGGCATGCACCAGGAACATCTAAGAGGAACATCTAGGGAACACCTGTGCAGCCCCTGAGAGAGCTGGCCAGCGGTGTGCCGCTCCCCTGCGTAAGTGGGGAAAGTGGCCAGGGGGAACCGCCCTTCCACGGAGGTGGAAGGGACAGTAGCCAACCCGGGAAGAACCAGCAGCAAACCCGGGGAGGGCCGAGCAGACAAAAGAACAGCGCAGGGTCCTGTGTCGTTCCTCCACGAAGAGGGGGAGCGACAGCCCCCATCTGGCTATTGTGGTCATTTGGGAAGTGGATCAGTGGGTAGAAGAAATCACTTTATTTCTCTGCCATTCTGTCAAATAAGTAAATAAATACATTTTCAAATGCTTATGACATATTAAACGTTCTTAGTCATTTCAATTAGTTTTTTGTAAAAAAAGCCAAAATTTATAATAAATGAGACAAATAAGATATATGTTATAAATGTCTGTAATCTGAACAGTTTCATATTATAATAAAAATGAAGTAAATATGTAAAAGTAGCAATCTAGTCTATTTTATCATAAATTTTATGGATTTAAAGATAAATAAGTAAACTACATTAGTCTTATTATTGCTATGACAAAACACTTGAGTATGAATACTTTTTTAGGAAGGAAGCATATTTAGCTCACGTTTCTGTTGATTGGAAAGTCCAAGCAGCCTGGCGCTAGCAGCCCCTAACTGTGTAGTGCAGAAAACTGGCTGCATGCAGAAGGGGCCATATAAATGGAATGTCCTTGTTTTATAGCAATCAGCCTTCTGGAAACTATCCACCAGAATGAATCACCTTGAAAAACTATTAATCCCTCGCAATAATCTAATTACCTGTTGGCTTCCCACTAGGATCTACATCTGAAAAATCTACTAGTTCAACAGTGTGACATGGGGAACCAAACTTACAGTGCACAAAATTTTGGCAAAAACTCATACCATTTCATAAGTGTATCTACACATTCACAATAAATTCATGTCAAGATGGTAAATAAGAGATACAACTGACTCTACACAAGTATGTCTTCACATGTATTTTGAGACCAATGCAGTATTATATTCTTTCGAAACAAGCAATACTACAATAATTCAACACCAAAGCTGAAGGCAATGTTATCATGGATTGATGTTCTTAATCACAACCATCTATAATGTGTTCTAACAGGGTATCAATAAAAGCAAGGGAAGAGGCATGTATCTGGTCTAGCAGTAAAGAAGCCACCTGGATACCTGCATCTCCTATTGGAGTGCCACTGCTCTCAATTCCACTTTCCTGCTAACATGGACTCTGGGAGGAAGTGGTGATATCTCAAATAGTTGAGTTGAGTTGTCTGAATTGAGTTTTCAGCTCTTGGTTTTGGCATGGGAAAGCCCCATGCTGTGGGTATTTTTGTGTGAACCAGCAGGTGGGAGATCTTTGTCTCTGCCTGTGAAGTAAATAAAATAAATGATTTTTGAAATAAAAGAATATATACAATATTTCTGAACTAAGTAAAAAGCATTGTCAAAGACCATTGGGTTATGAAACCGATTTTCCAAGTGGAGGATATTGTCACCGTTGTCCCCTTTCTAAAAAGATACTGTACAAAACTCTACCAGCTTATCCTAGTTGACAGACTGCTAGGAATTGAGAAATTTGGAAGAGATTCCAAGGAAAATGGAAATTCAGTAGAAGTCTGAGAGAACTAACCATAAACATCAAATAGATTCACATAGTGCCTACTATTTGTAAAACTCCAACAGTTGAGCTGCCATTACAGTTGCTCTTGCCTCTTGTTCATAATGCACACCTCCTACTCCATATCTACATGAGGAAAACAATCCCCAGCTTGCACACAAGCCCTTGATTCACCAGAGACCAGTATGAGAGTACTCTTTGTTGTCTTTAAATGCGATGTAATTTAGATTGTGTCCCCCTCCGCCACCTGAAAAAAGGAAGTACTTTTCAGCTAGCTTTAAAATTAATAGGTCATGTTGTGGTAGAGACCTTTGTATTTTGATTAAACTTGTTTCTAACAGACATGATTAAAGTTGTGATAGAAGCCTTCCCACGGTCACAAGAAGAAAAAGAGAAATCTGTCCTAGGAATGAAATGTGGTTGTTATCTGCTTGCTTATGAATGCTTCAAATGCAGTTGCTATCTGTTTATATGTAACCATTTTGGGTTCTGCTTGCTGGTACAGAGCAGTGGTGTTAACCCTTGCCAGACAGTTTCTGGCTAAGTATATGGGTGGAAAAAATCATTTGTATTTATGCACACAAGCACAGTATTGTATCGATTCCTGGCCCAGGTCATGTAGCATTAGAATATTCAATCAAATGTATACATGAAGCCTATAAGAGAGACAAAGAGACTAAAACTATATATAAGGAAGTACCTCTCCTTGTTCTTGTTTCAGGTTTTCGGATAAGAAATTCCACCTGTGCCTTCCAGCATAAATAATAAAAGACTACTTCCTGTTAAAAGGCCTTGGTGCTTTTTCTCTGTACACGAATCCTGCTACAATGTACCAAATTGGCCATATTTTCCTCTCTCAGTAACAATAGAAAGTGGGTATCAATCACTGCCCATGTAAAATATTTCTTCTTTCTAATCAAGTATTCAAAAACTGGCCTTTTATTCTTTTAAACTATGTGAATAAGACTTGAGCAAAAATGTACAGTGTAATGAAATTAAAAGAGAATATGAACTAACTAATGAGGTAAAAATCCCATTTTTCCTAAATATCAAATATTTGAGTTTTATAATTAATCATAATCTAAGAAGACACATAAAATTAAGTTTTTGAAAATATATGTGTTAAATTGACTGCCCTTTTATTAAAAGGAAAGACAGAAAGGAAGCTAACCATATATGACACTAAAAAGCAGAGACTTTCCTTGATCTCTCCCAACATGTCATCACTTTTAAGTAAAATAACACCATAAGATGTTATGTTTAAAGTGCACATGGCATTATCCTAGAAAATGACAAATTTGGGAGCAAAGAATTTGTTAAAACAAGATGGTTATAAATCATTCTCAAGAGCTTTAACAAGAATATCTCAGAATGCCAAATTTTGTAGTTAAAGATACCTCAGAAGATGTGTCTGCAGCTTCCAAAAAAGATGCAACTTCTAGGACATGAAAAGGAATTGATTAGTGTTATGTAATTCACCTATTAATTCCTGGAGGTGAGCTTGAAAAATATATATCTTGGATATTCTCTATGCTATTCCAGAGACATTTCCTATGTTTCTAAATTATGTTTTAGAAATTAAGCTTGCTTTAAGCATTTATGCATTCATAGGTTGACCTAATCTATACATACTAATTTAAAATCCCCCTGTGGATGAATAAAAAAGTAAAATAATTTACACATGTTCTCTCTTGTTAATTGCTATATAACTGTTTATGCCATATACTTGACTGTTGACAAGAGTCACTCAGTTAAGGATTTTGGGATAATTCATTTGTAAAGTTATGGAATCATTTGAAGAATTAGATAATGAAAGGAATATTCCTAATTAGGTATTTGAAAACAAATAAAAATACAGAATAAGCGAGATATCTTAAAAAATATAGGTTTCAATTGTACTTTATTTCTTTAATAATGCAGTATTTTGACTGGTACAGTGCTTTTACTTGGCATCACTTATGAGTTGGTAATAAAATAATTCAGTATTACACCAGCTAGGATGACTACCGATCTCTATTCCTTTGGGATGACTTTGCCAACAAGGGACAGGTCCCATTCTATTCCAAGTTGTGTTGCTATATATGTCCATGCAGCAACACAGAATGTGGCTCCATCAGTTAATACAACATTACCATATTTGTCATGAAAATCAAGTGTGTGTTTCTGGTGGCTCTGCTTTGCTGTTGTTTGCTGAATGCTTTGAACTTGGAGATGACTTAGTGTATTTCTCACCATAGGAAACATGAAGCAGATGATACAACTGTGGCAACTATAACTACTGTTTTGTTGCAGTTCCACTCCAGATAGCCTTGCAGAGAGGCCTGAAGGAAAAAATGGCCAAATTCTGTGAATTTAAAGATAGTTAAGAATTTACAGAGATTTGGCAATAATTAGTTTTACCAAATGAAAACCATTGGAAGATCCAATCTATCATATTTCATTCTATGATTAAGCCACATACACTGTAGTCAGAATTTAATAAATAAAATTCAGCCTTGCTGCATTATTTTTGAAAATCCAGTAAATGATATCTTAAGCAGGAAGCAAAGCAATATATCTTATAAATCATTACATATAAATCTTATAAATCACAGTCCCAGGCAACAGATCTCAAAATTAATCTCATGTGCAAAAATCATTTACTCTTAAATTTCAAAACTTAACATGCACATGCCTGTTTATATAATACTTATAATTTTGAAAGTTATATATTCATTAGAATTCATCTGACTAAAATATTTTAAGAGCTCAATAACTTGAAATTAGTAATCATTGACTTAAAGCCAGGTAATCATGACTTAACAAGAAAGATCATATTCCAACACTTATTCACCCAATGACAAACATTTATTAAGAACTGCCTATGTGCTAATTGGTGTGCTATAAAACCTAGGGCATGGTACTAAACAAGATGTATTTCTTTCTCATGCATAATTCACTCTTTCATTTAGAAACAATTATATAAACATTTAGAATTTACTAGAATAGGCCAAGAAAAATAATAATGCTGATTTGAGGATAAAACAATTGAATAACTAAGATAAATTTTTAACAGGAATTAGGAATAAGTCATGGGAAGTAGGGGAGAAAAATACCAAGCAAAGGGAGAAGAATGGGCAAAGGGCAGTAACGAAGATGGTGGTACTTCATTTGACTTTCACAAGAAGCATGAGTATGGAAGATGTTGAGTGTAAAAGGTGCGTAACACAATGGCACCTTAAAGCCAGAAAGCACTTGTGGACCATATGAATTTTATTTTTAAATTTTAACAAAATTGCAAAGAGGAGTCATTGGATTATTTTGAAATTTATTTTATTATTTTTAGAAGTCACATTTTAATTCACATTATAGGCAAAGACTTGATAAAGCACTCACTAAATAAAGTGAATAAAACATTGAAGAAATAAAAATTAAAAAGAACATAAGTCAGCAAGGAAGGCAGGCAGGAGTAATAAACAATAATCAAATAAAACGATGTTCAAATTCCCTTACAAAAAGTCACTTTTAAAAGAATCAAACTATAATAGTTTATAATTCTTTTTTTATTTTTATTTGACAGGTAGAGTTATAGACAGTGAGAGAGAGATAGAGAGAAAGGTCTTCCTACCATTGCTTCACCCCCCAAATGGCCGCCACAGCCGGTGCTACGTCGATCTGAAGCCAAGAGCCAGGTGCTTCCTCCTGGTCTCCCATGCAGGTGCAGGGCCCAAGGACTTGGGTCATCCTCCACTGCCCCCCCAGGCCACAGCAGAGAGCTGGATTGGAAGAGGAGAGACCAGGACTATAGCCGGTGCTCACACAGGATGCTGGTGTCACAGGTGGAGGATTAACCAACTGAGCCATGGCACTAGCCCCATTAGTTTATAATTCCTATCAGTTTGTTTTCAAAGATTAAAACAATTTTGACAATCATTATTTTTGTGGCAAAACTGATACACATGTGCATTTCTTTTTACATTTTCACTTAAAAAATTTTAATCACCCACACACAAGGAAAAACATGGTATTTGTCTTTCTGTGTCTGGATTGTTTCACTAAACATTGCACCCTCTAGTTGCAAACATTCTGATACAAGTGATAGAATTTCATTATTATTTTCTATTTATTTATATATTTATATTTATATATTTATATTTATATTTTATATTTTGCATATATTCCATATTTTCTATATCCATTCCTCTGATGATGGGCACCTTGATTGATTTCATATTTGGGCTATTGTGAAAAGTGCTGCTACCAACATGGTGGTGCAGCTTGCACTTTGATATAAGGAATACATGTCTTTTGCATATATACACCATAGCAGGATTGCTATTTCACATTGGATGTTCTTGACAAGAGTACAAGCATGATTAGACTTGAGGTTTAGAAAAATTGTTGTGAATTCAATGCCAGTTTTCAGAAGAAGATTAGAGTAAGAAAGGTCTAAATGTTGACAGGTTGATTTTAAGGTTTTTTAAACAATCAATGAAGCAATCTTTGATGGTCTGTACCAACTACTGTTGTGGAACTGTGACACTGAGATGAGAATAAAAGGTATAGAAGATGTAACACTAAAAATCATAGAATTTTTACCATTAGGAATTTGAATGGACATATGGAATTAAGTAATTTTAGAAGTCAAACATGGCCCCAGATTTTTGGCTGCTGGCTTATTGATTTTTTTATCAAATTAAGTCACATTTGGGAAATTCATATATACATATATATATAATAGAATATGTTTAAAACATTTTTAAATGTAAATATCAAGTTAAGAGGCTAAATAGTTTAGGGCCAGCATTGTAGTGTTGTAGGTTAAGCCACTGCCTGTAACATCAGCAACCCATACAGGTTCATGTCCTGACTGTTCCACTTCTAATGTAGCTCCCTGCTAATGTGCCTGGGAAAGCAAAATATGGCCCAAGTTCTTGGGCCCTACATACAGGTGGGAAACCTGGATGAAGCTCCTGGCTTTAGCCTGGCCCGGCCCTGGCCATTGTGGTCATTTGGGAAGTCAACCAGTAGGTGAAAGATTTCTCTCTCTTTCTCTCTCCCTCCCTCTGTCTCTCTCTCTCTGTAATAGTCAATCTTTTTTTTAAAAGAGTGGATGTAATTAGGTGAAGGTAATTTCCCTTTTCTTCTTTTTTCTCTATGTCATTGATAATTCTCAAAATCTTTCTTTTGTTTTCCTCATTTTGCTTTTCTCCATTCTCCCTTACATTATTTTCTTTATAAAATGAGAAAAGGATAAGCTATTAGAAAATTTACATTTTGTAGGGGAGTGAACCAGGAACAAGGAAGACCTTTCTCTCTGTCTCTCTTTCACTGTCTAAAAATAGATTCTGTCTCTGCCTGTCAAAAAGTTAAAAAAAAAAGAAAATTTACATTTTGTAATTTTTCTATGAGACAGATAAAGTGTTAGAAAAGGCAAAGATTCTCCATTCTGAAAGGTTTTAAAAGCTGATATAGTTGAAGAACTGATGTGCCCTTCAATGAAGGGTAGTGCCTTAAGGGGTCAATGCTGTTCTTTGTCTTCTGGTACAGGTGGTGAGATTGGGGAGTGAGGACAGGAATCTCAGCGGATAAGGAGTCAAGCCTGTTTCTACTCACCATATTCACATTTTCACCTCCTCCCTGGTGTACTGTTAGGTGTATTCTTTACACCCTGGCAGTTAAAATGGAAATGGACATTTTGCTGCCTCTCCCTTTGAGATGTGAAGCACAATGTCCTTCCTGTCAAATAAGAAGCTAGCCTTCATGAATTGCTTGGCAGATTGAATGCAGTAGAAATAATATTGGGTAACATCTTTTATTCGATATAATTTGGCCTTGTAGATTAAGCTTTGGACTCCGGAACAGTTTTCTTAGAAGCTAGCTGTGTCCTGGGGAACACTGTAGAAAATTAAATTGATTCTATTTCTCCTTCCATTAATTTAGTATACAAGAGAAAAATGATAGAAGACGCCGAAATTCTACATTGCTGTATTGAGCAAATTTGCTCTCACTACCTAATCCACATTGTGCTTCGATAAGAGTTTATGATTAAAAAAAAAAAAAATTGTACTTGGTTTGATGCTGCTTAAGCTACTGCCTGGGTGCTAGCTGGAGTCCCAGCTGCTCCACTTCTTATGCAGCTCCATGATAATGCTGCTGGGAAAGCAGCAGAAGGTGGCCCAAGGGCTTGAGCCCTTGCACCCACTCAGGAGTCTGGGATAAACCTCGGGTTCCTGGCTTCAGCCTGGCTCAGCTTGGACCTTGCAGCCATTTGGGGAGTGAACCTGAAGATGGAAGATCTGTCTTTGTCTCTGACTATAGCTCTGTCTTTCAAATAAATAAATCTTATCTCAATACTAATTATATTCTAAATAATGTGAGAAATATACTTTAAAAAATCTTATGATGTACAAAAAAACCAAACACTGAAAAGCAAGAATTAAAGAGGAATGATGGGTTTAATGTTTGTTTAGCCATTAGGAGATTGTTTGTCAGCTGTCTAAAATTCCATTCCACCAGAGGGCATTTGCCCTAGTGATGAAGATGTAAGTTAAGATGTTCACATTAGTGTGTTGTCCAATGTGAAGTAATGCTATAACTAGTACTCAAACAGTATTTTACACTTTGTGTTTCTGTGTGGGTGCAAACTGATGAAATCTTTCCTTAATATATTCTGAATTGATCTTCTGTATATAAAGATAATTGAAAATGAATCTTGATGTGAATGGAATAGGAGAAGAAGCGGGAGATGGGAGGGATGTGAGTGGGAGGGAAATTATGGGGGGGGGAGCCATTGTAATCCATTAACTATACTTTGAAAATTTATATTTACTAAATAAAAAAGAAAAAAATGAAAAAATAAAAAAGATGTCCACATTCCTCATTGGTGTGCCCTGATTCAGGACTTGTCTCTAATTCCTGATTCAAAACTTCCCGCTATGCATAAGTAATTGAGTCTCTGTCATCTACATGGGAGACCTATATTGCCTTCTTTACTCACTGTCTTTGGTCATAGTCACCTTGGGCCTTTGAGGAAACAGCAGCTTGTGGGAACAACCTCTCTGCATCTGTCCCTCTCTGTGAGTCCCTTTGTCTCTAAAAAAAAAAATAATAAAAATAATAATTAACAAGGAAGAATCTTATGGCAGGCATTTGGAACAGCCCTTAAGATGTTACTGGAAAACAGACATTCTATATTGAAGTAGCTGAGTTCAAGTCCTAGCTATTGATTCTAGGTCCCTGCTAATGTACTCCTTGGAAATAAC